AGTACAGATGTCAAGATGAGGGTAATGGCGAGGTGAGAATAATGAGATGAGGTGATGTACAAATTATGAGTGCAAATGTATACTTTGGTGAGTTATAATTGATTGGTAGTTTATACACGTAAACACACATGTGAGTGGTGAGTGTGTGTGTGTTATGTGTAATACAGAGCATTATCAAGTCACAATGATAATTACACATGACGTTTCACCTTTATGTTTTTATATTCAACGTCAAGTGATGGGGCTAGCGTATACACATGAGAGAAACTCGAATAAACTAGGGGGGGGGAGGTGCTGGCTTAGAAATACATGTGTGTTTATGGAATCAACTCTAGACTGCCCGACCCGGAACTTCCAGATGGGCATTATGCCATATGGTGTGAAAACTGACAAGATATACACATCTGGTATAGCTGAATGGGGAAAAATGAAACGGGTTCAAACTGTGATGGATGACATTAACTAATTTTAATTATCATGTTTTTATTTCCGTGTAAGATGGCAGATTTCCGCCGAGAAACACGACACAAATCCGCTTAGCTGATTTCATATCTAGAAAAGGTTTATATACCAGTTTATAGACAGCCCGTGGTTTAATATGTACAATTTTTAAAGTAATTTTATAAGAATGTTCGGTAACATATGTAATGGTTTCTATATACTATATAGGGATTTGTATAGAAAATATAATTGATTTTAGATATCTATACAGGCTATAGCCTATATATGGAACATAGCCACAATTTCAGTAACTTTTCGCCCGCGATTAATTTACTAAAGCATCACTAATGTCCTTGTGCACTCACAGTCTCTAATTAGCTTTCAATAAACCTGTCATTAATATTCCCTGCGTGTTAAACCTTGCACTGTTTTCATGTTTAAAAGCATCATCTTCTCCCTGCTACAGTCAATCAACCATATAGAGATCTAGATCGGTCTTCGTTTCGCTTTCAAATGTCCAAAGTACGTGTGATAGCTATTGTATATGAAATGTTCTGATTTTAAATGTGTAAGTCTACCATTTATTCGAAGGCCTCCATCTAGTATCGCCAATAACTTCGCATACAATTACAACACTTAGGGCTTTAAAGAATCGTAAGGGGGTATAGCCAATATACAAATATGTGAGTACGCTTAATCAATAATAAACCAAACATGCAACAGCTCTTCTATAATCAATAAAAATTACATTACGTTTTATTCGCTTTTTCTTGCAAGTAAACCAACGCTTCGTAAAGATACTGTTAAATTTACAACCAAAATACATCAGCATAGTAGCCTTCATAAGTAGCGATGCCTAAAGTGAGTGCAGGCGACTCTACGTTTAGATTTTTTTTTCACTACTAAAATAACACCAGCACAATGTATTAGCATAGTACACAAGTAAAGTATGGAAGCCTAAAGTACATGCACACGACCTTTTCAGTATGCACGCGGCACGGCGTACCAAAAAAAAAAAAAAAAAGATTACTTAAGTCGCCTCTCAAACGATACGCAGACGTACTGCAAAAACCACTCGTGGCGTGTTGTTACGACGCACGGTGGCTGAGCTTTCTCCAAGTTTTATCGGAAATGCTTTTCAAAGGCCCTTGACGTTTACGCATACGCCTTGTTTACGAATCCGGATTGTGTATGGCTGTGACGACGTCAGCACTGCCACTGAACTGTTAGTATACGGCGAGAGAAACACGCCTGTTAGATGATTCATAAAATTCGTAGGTGTACGGAGCAAGGATGAGCCACCAGCCGGTAAAACGCAGTGGGTGCCCTCCCGTGTGCTAGACCAGTTCAACACGGCAAACCACTGCAGCACATGTGCTGAGCACGTTCAACATTTTTTTTTTACATTGATACGGAATTTAAAAGTCACAAAAGAGAAGTTAGAGATGCTTACTAGATCTAATTCTGTGTATGCATATAGATCTGAATTTTACTAGAGCTAAATTCTATACTGTTTCACGAATTTGATGCATATAAAAAAAATTTAATAACTAGAATACGTGTAACGTAAAGAGGTTTCAGAATCTTACTAGATCTGTGTATGCATATAGATTCTATACAGTTTCACAAATGTGATGCTTCGGCCTATCCTAATATCTAATAAAAATATTTCAACAACTTGATTAAGTGTAAATAGTGTAATAGAAAGCAGTTAGAGCACAGCAGATAAATACGGCAACCTTAAGCAGTGAGCTCATTAAATGTCATCGGTGATAAAAAGATAATGTCATAAAAATATTGGGATCATGAATGAGGAGTGGGTGGGAGGGAGAGGTTAAAATGGAATCAACTTGCCAGACAACGCAACTGGTAACTGAAAATGGTACCGTATTTCACGAAACAGAAGGCAAAAATTTGTGTTCGCAATTTTACTTTCCATTTCATATAAAAGCAACCCCAACCCCCACCACCCCAAAAAAAAAAAAAAAAATTTTTTTACAGTTGGGTATATTATATGAATAAATGTTAACTACTGAGCCAACAGGCACGCCCAAGAAAAAATAATTGTAACTTATCATTCAAGCCCTCTCCCCCCCCCCCCCCCCCCACATAGTGGCCCTCCTACCAAACCCCTTCTCACGGTTCTTGTCAACTGTGCACCTTTAGATTGTAACACATAGCGCATATTTCTTTTAAAAATAAAAACATAAATCTTCCTTTATCAGAAGGTGCATGAAATTTAATACTACGATACACATGGTGGTTAAAAAATAAGGAAGGTGCCTGAAAAATTTATTCCTGATTCAGTCAGTATAGGAGTTTAATGAAAACAGGATTCTCGACTTCAATGAAAACAGGATTCTCGTTACTATAGGCCTTCTGCCTTTTGATCAATCAGTTTAAAAAATCAAAGAAAATAGGACACATTACTTTAATGCCCTTTTTTTCAGTTTAAAAGTTCAAAGAAAATAAGACACTTGTTACTTCAATGCCCTTTTTTCAGTTTAAAAGTTCAAAGAAAATAAGACACATATTACTTAAATGCCTTTTTTTCCAGTTAAAAGTTCAAAGAAAATAAGACACTTGTTACTTAACTGAGAAATATTTTTTCTCAATCTACAGGGAAACTAAAGGAAGTTACAGCTAGAGATGAAAAAATTGAAAGAAACTATCTCAACATAAGCAAATGAAACAATGTTGCATTACACATTGATTAAACTATGCTGTTTTAAAAGAGGATGAGTTGTTTAACTAAAGCAAAAAATATTGGAGGATTTGGCTTGATGACTATGCCAATAGAAAGAAATTGGATTCCTGATGAAAAACATTCATTACTTAAACAAATCTAAAGAAAACCTAAAACAATTAGATGACTGCAGAACTTATTTATACAGTGACATAGTGAGGATAGGGTAGGTGAGGGAGGGTTCCCAATAAGGCCCTCCATCTCACAGGGCCTCAAGACTCTACCGCTAGGCCACGCCATCCCCTAATGCTACGTTTGCCAGCAGGTTATTTTAATTATGTTCATTTATTCTTTTTTGTAACACTATCCTGGTTCTAACAGCGACTTGAACCTAAATCCTAAGGGTGTTCGCAAATATTGAAGAACAGGTCATTTAAGGTGGGTTTTTTTGTTGCCTTATTTTTATTCTTTGTATTATTTTTATACTGGGTATGATGCATTAAAATAATGTTCTAATGCGGGGACAGCATGGTCTAGCAGCAAGGCGACGGTCTGCTAACTCCAAAGTCTTGATATCTAATCCTGATTCAAGTCAGCAGAGCATCATTAAGCCCATCTAGTTTGGATGGGTACTTAACTCTAGTTGGAGAAAGTTAAGGTGGCTGGACATAGTGCTGATAACATGATCCCTTCATATGCCAAGGTCACATTAACAGGTAAACTACTTCACTTGCCCCATGGACTGTCAGGTTCCATAAGGGACCTTTACTTTTTTATTTTCAATATTAGAAAATACTTGAATTAGTAGACATCTTTTAAAAGGTGCAAGTGCTCAAAACATGCACCTAGTGCCCTGCTTTACCCTATATAATATATATTATATAGGCCTATGTATTTATAATATATTATAATTTATAGGCCTATAGACTATAGACCAGGGGTCTCCAAACTTTTCAGTCCGAGGGCCGCATTAACTATCAATTTTCAGTTCAGGGGCCAGTTTCTTCCAGGCATGTCTTTGATTTTCTGGGCAAAGTTCCTCAGCCATTACCAACAAACGCTTTTTCCGTGGACAAAGAGATCTCCACGGGCCGGATAAGAGGACCCCGCGGGCCGTAGTTTGGAGACCCCTGCTATAGACTATAGACTATACTAGGCTAGGTCTAGATCTAGCTAGATCTATTTATAATATACTATAGTTAACTATAGGCATGTTAATTCATGTTAAGTTAACCGGGTGTTAATAATTAAGTAATAAGTATAGATAGAGCTGATAGAGACAAGGCAAAATAATTCAAAATATCCAGAAAATATGTTAGTATGGTATGAGATTCTCCTATTTTATTTAGATCTAGATCTTGAGATCTATAGATCTACACTTTATACACCCTTTTAGGCCTAAAAATATTTAAAATTTAAAATAATCTAGGGGATAGACGCCCTAGAGTGACCTAGAGTCTAGAGTCTAGAGGTGGGCTAAGGCTAATTAATATAGTTAGTAATACTAGATCTAGATTCTAGTGTTAGATCTAGTAAATAAGTAAATAGTAAATAAATAAATCTAAAATTCAATAAAATATCTACTCGTAACTCTATCAATCATGTATCATAGATTATAGATTATTCATAGATGATGGTTCTTGTTTACAACCAGATCTAGATATCTAGATCTAGATCGGGTTAAAATATAGATCTACACATACATCGACTATATTGTGTAGGCCTATATTACTATTATTATTAATAATATAAATATTATCATTAGAAGCCGGAATAATGACCTATTTTTCTGTCTGCTAGGTTTCTGCTAGCAGCAAAGTTCGATAATAAATTTTTTATTGTACAGTCAAGAACTGAATAGTAATTTACTTACTTGTTGTGCGACAGGTTCTAAAATACTTTCGATCGTCTTCGTGTGGAAGACTGGCATCTTTAATTGTGTTGTGAACCGCAAATAAAATTATTTTAAATCCACAGTTACAACCAGAAATACAAGGATAGTGGCGAGTCAGCACACTGTGCTTTATTTTCACACAGTCAAGTTACACACGAAATAGTTTATTTCCGGAAGCATCATTATAAATTCGGGGTCATGGGTTAAAATGATCGACCTTTATTTAAAAACCCGACAAAATCACCGTAGTTTTGAGTTCTTAAAAGATAATCAAAGTACAAATATTGACACAATATAACATTCATTTGTTTAAATAGTAGTTAATAGAGCGAAGCAGATGTAATTGATTCGTATCTAGTTCCCATATATGGCGAGAATGTGACCTACATGGACTTTCTCATTTTGTACTATAGGGGTGACAGAATATCTTTTTAAAAAATTAACCTAAATCTGTTAAAAATTACAGTGTAATAACTTCTAACGCAGTGTTCGTTTTAAACACCGTTCGTAACATATAATTATATAATTATCATATACTTTCAATAAAAAGAAAAAGCGAGTAAAATAGTCGGCTATTTTTTATATGATGGCATTGATGGTTTGACCGAGTGTACCTTAGAGCTCTAATCTGGGCATATGCACAATTTCTTTTAAATCAGAATTAATTTGAAACTAAATTAAGATCTAGCTTTTGCGATGATAGTAAAGACTAAATAGGGAAAGGTGTGATTTTGAAATTAGAATGACAATTTATTCTTCGGCCATTGTCTAACAGTAATTTAAAAAAAACTGCTACGTAAAAAGTAACAGTTCCTTACAACTGGTTTCTGTGAGTATATGAGGTAGAGTTTCTTTCTGGCTTCATTCGTACGAAATTGAAACAATGTATAATTTATATAGAAAATAATTACTTTAACCGTTGTTAACCGAAAGTTTCAAGTGCCCCCCCCCCCCCCCCCCCAAGAAAAATGTCTGAAAGAAACAATTTTTCCATTAAAGATGTCGGTGACGAAGAAGAGGGGTGTAATCTAGTGTGACGTCACACTTTTGTAATATTGTATTTTTTAATGAATTTTATATTTTGCTTTTGAAAGACTTATGACTTCATAAGTTGTAATCAAAGTGGATTAATGTATCAAGTTAAAAGGATTTTTTTTAAAAAGTAGTTGCGATTTTTACGGCCAAAATAATCTGACTCGCAAACAGTTATTTGTTTTCTTGGATACGTCCCTTAATAAAAGGTTTAGACATTAAAAAAAAAAAAATGTAAATGTTGAGAGAAGGGACTGAAGTGTATCTCATTTTAGTGTTGGAGGTTTGGACTTACGAGATGCCAAACGATGGGGTGGTGGGGGAGGGGGTAAACATCTGCAAACAAGTGTGACGTCAACATTTAAAATTATTTTTAAACGTCAGAAATTCTTCTCGGTTGCATTTCGCCGATTTTAATATAAACACAGATTATTTAGAGATTGTATCTGATCGGGAACAACGAGTCAAACGAACTAGATCTAGTAGATTTAAGCTACCAAAGTTTGTATGTCAATTGAATCTACACGATTTCCGTTGTTTTTTTCCTGAGAATAAAATGTGCAAAATGTATCCTATTACTATTATGCTACAATTTGTCAGGAGAAAATCAAAATGCTTTATATTAGGCCTATTTATAATAATTTAATATCTTGTATTTTCGGACTAACAGTGACTTTCCGGTCACAGGTTTTTTTTTCCTGTTTGGCCTAGGCCTAACCGAATGGGAACTGAGACACATTTTAAAACATGCGCGCTGTGTTTGAAAACCGCTGGTATATAAAGCAGCGCGCAAGCTTTTTACGCATTACTTCGTCTCATCTCTCGACGCTTTAAGTCGCATTGAGAACGTTGTTCAACCTGAATTTTTCCCTTTGTTAATTTTTGCTAGTAACTCTAAACAATCAAAATGGTAAGTTTGATTTCTTTGAATTAGATCTAGAAATAGATTCTACAGATAAATCGATCCTATAAGAACGATCTACCGAATTCGATTTTTGGCTTAGGCGTTCTCTATCCTACCTAATGAGATGTTAGCCGCCATTTCCTCCCATCACTACCGGCATCACCCACCAAGTTTTAATATTAAAATCATGTAGAATAAACCTTGCTTGTTAATTAGGTATTGTGCAAATAGTCAAATTCCTAACTCGACCTAGACATTCCCGATATAGAACAAAGTTACTGATCTGCCTAAAGTTTATTGATTAAATTAATTCCGAAACAATGGATGATTGTCGCCTACCACGTCATCAGCTAGCCGGCCACTTGCCGTTGCTGGTCTAGGCCTACGACAAAGAATGCATTCTTTATCGCAATGAGTCATCACAGTGGGGGGAGGATGGGCTTTCATAGGTGGGCTAGCTAGCAATCTGTTACCGATGATTCATACGGCCTAACAAGTTTAATTTTGATTTTGTTTAAGAACTGACTTAACTTAGATTTAAAGTTAAAAATTAAACTTAAATTATTTTCACTTTTGCTTGATCTAGGTATTCTAAATGAGCCGAAAAATTTTAGCCGGTTTTAAAAATTTTTGGTCGCGTTGCGGCATCGCGCGGCGGTCCGACCCCATAACACATACGCAATTAGAAACCACTGATTTAGAAAGAAGAATGGTAGCTCTGTAAGATGGTATAACTTTACCAGCTGTATAATATAATTAAATGCTAAAAATGTTCAATTTAAAATTTTAAAATGATTTTTTTCAATGAAAAAATAATTTTACAGCCGCCAAAGTTGTATATTCCGAAAGGGCATCCAATTTGCCATAAAACTGTTACGATTTAATGAACACTCCGTGTATGGGGTCGGACCGCAGTAAATGAAACCAATGTATACAAATCGCGACGACCCGCATCTAAATTTCGCCGGCTTGAGTCAAGATTTTGTTGAATTCCGGAACACCCGACCTCGGTTCAGAGCAAGATTTTGTGTTTATTCGTTGATTACAGTGGATTTAAAAACACGTGCAGGTAAGTTGAATGCACATTATATTACTAGCTATATTCTATTTATTTATGATTAACTGCTGCTTTAATACATTTGAATATTAGTGTCCGCTTATCGGTAATTGCTCCACGCTTAAAAAAATTTTTTCCAAAAAATTATCTAGCCTTTTTTAAAAGTCAGTTGTATTTAATTTATGGTCACTGAAATAAAAAAGGAATGCACAATTAAATCAAAAAGATGTTTAAAAGGATGATAGAATTTAATTTGTTTTAGTAAATTATGTTACTTAATAACATCGGCCGATTAAACTATCAATATTTTGTCGATATTTCAAGCCGATTGTCCGCCATGTTTTTTTTTTACTTTCTCGTAGTGTTGGGTTCAACTATTATATTACCGCAGCGGTTAACAGCATACTTTCAATTTATTGTAGCATTGGTTTTTTTTTTGTCTTTCCTAGTTTAATAGTTAACTATTCTATATATGTGCAGTAGTTACATTAAATTTTAGAATATTACGATCTTTTACATTTTTTATCTCTAGATTTATTGTAAAGACGACTTAAAACAAAATGTAGCCCCCCTTCCATAATAGTTTAGTCCAAAGTTGTTTCTAGATTTAGTCTAGATCTACTTAGATTAGTTAGATTCACTATTGCTTTCATGTTAATATTTAGATCTAGTAGTAGAACTATCTATAGTGCTTACATTTAATATCTAAAAAGCATTGAGCAGCCTTACTTTTAATATTATTATTATTCTATTTACAGAGCAAGATATTAGCATAAAAGAAAGGGGAAACTCATTGGCCTACCAAAAATTTTGTATTGTTGTGAGAGCAACAACAGGACTCCTGAATACTTTTGAAGGAAACCATATGTCAAATGTTAGTATTGTTTGCACTTTGCTTATTATTTATAATGATGTAATGTTACATGATTGATATCTAAGTTGGTATAAAGATATACAGGCCTGCTATATAAGTCAGTATATTTGAAATGCTAATTAATTGTTTTTATTCACAGACATTTTCTATACTCTGGACCAATGGAAGGATCCCTTACTAGATTCCATAATTTGATCTGTAACCCTGAAGAAGACAAACTCAACCAGGATATTGACTATTAATTACAATGCTACCCAACCTCATAGAGAATTTTCCCAATCAGGATATTGACCTGTCTTTTTTAACCTGCTCTAAGATTTCTGATAATTGTATAAGTTAGGACCTAGACATTTCCAGAAGTTGACTTTGATCAATAACTATCTAGAAGAAATAAAATATACTAGTAACAAGTAAATTTATGCTTAACAAGCCATGATTAGGAACCAGAGTAACAAAACTAGATGAACATCACAACTCTATTAGGGTAATTTAAAAAGAATTTCAGTTTAATTAGTTATCTTACTTCGTCAGTTTTTAAAATGCATGGAATTTCTTCTTATTATAGTATATAAGTAAAGTAGTAGTATAGTTATTTAGTTTTTTATAACAAAGTAATGCTGACATGTTTCCTACACAATTTATATTACTTTCTTAAAAGTAAGAACACTTAATTCTTGATTTTGGGCGTTAAGGAAGGATGCCTTGTATTGTTTTGCAGAATGATTATTTTATGTCTCTGTGTTTATTATATATTAAGAACATCATGTGCTTTAAGTTGGTGTAAAATTTATTAAGATACCTTACTTAAATATTTTTTTATAATTTTTTGAAAAAGGATGAAATTTCTAATTTTTATAAACTGACCTTGCTGAATCTGGTCTCGCTAATTACTTTCTTTATTAATTCTTTACCTGCTTATTTTATATTAACATGGTTTGAATTTCCTTTCTTAGAACATTTATATTATTAATGTGGCTTAATTAGTTTATTTTATATGATTTTTTAAAAATGACTGTAAATTAACTTTTTGTCTCCCTTTTCGTACTTCGGTAAAATTGTGCTTTGGCTCATTTTTATGTGAATAAATTTTCTATTTATATCTGTCTGACTACCTTGAAAAAAATTGGGTTTGCTATTTGTATTACTGGCTGTGTGTGCAAGAAATTTGAGAGTTCTAACTTAGTTATTGTAGAAGTTAGTAGGGGTCTCAAATAGACCCTTTACTGTTCAAAAAGCGAACGCATTTTTTTAGTTTTAAAAAATTCATAACTTTTTTAAAAATGGACATACATCAATAAATTTGGTGTTTCTGTTCTGATGAAAACAGTCTCTATCAGGTGGAAGTGTTAAATTTTATTTAATTTCATTATAAAAATTTCATTTTGAATACCTACTTGATCTAATAAAAATACAGACTTAAATACTTTAAATGACTAGATCTAGATTAGGCCTAATTGAAAAGTTGAGAATAAGTCTTGAATAAGATGAATATCAGTATTATAAGCAGGTAGGCTAGGCCTAAAGATTTTGAGGTTAATTTTTTTACTCTAGATCTCTAGTCTGTGTGAAAAAAGGCTACATTTGGGATTAGTAGGCATTTCGATGTCCGCCATTTTGTTTAATCTGGCCACATCCGAAATTTTTCAAGCCAACTTTTGTAATTTCGGCCATTTTCCATCCAAGTGCTTAGTTATCATGAGAGAATCGATAAATTAATGTATTCGATACGTCAAAGTGGGCTGTTTTTATATTCTATGTTTGTATGGAAAACTATTAGTTACATTTTAACATATCGATCCCAATTTTATCGAGGTATCTTAGCGAGCACGTCTCATTAAACGCAGTAACCGACTTCTTTCAATTAGTATTAATTTTAGCAAGAAAGTAAAGTATAATAAGCTAGACATTAGTTGTAATGAGCATCCTAACCATTCTCAAGAACAAAAATAACAGTTTCATAGAGTTCTTTTCATTGGAACATGCTTAAAAAGCATTGGTAAATCTTGGGGGGGTCCCGCTGACACAATTTTTTAACAGGGCGATAGGGGCCGCGAGGTTACCTATTATCGATAGAACCAAATTTCGGCATTTAAAAAAGAGATAAGTTCAGGAAACTAGATCTAGTAAATAAGTAATGCCAAACTATTTTGATGGGTGGAAATGTTGGTTTTATGGGGCTTTTTAGCTCTTTATAACCAGATATTGCTTCTTGCGTGAAGTGAAGGGGATCTACGCAATTTTAATAATGACGGCCGAGTTTAAATTTTTATGACGGTCCATAGACCATATGCATGAAATATAAAAAATCGCACATTTGATATTACTATTACTGTTTAACACTATTCATTGAATTGGCAAGATTTTAGCTTATAGAATGTTTTTTATGGATTAAATAAAATTTAAAGCAATGGAATTAATAGTCCCATTCATTAATAATCTTCCATATTAGTCATTTTCAATTGGGTAATAATAATAGGCCTAATTAAAATTTTAAATAGTAATAAATAGGCCCTTATAAATATTAGGCCCCTATAGAATAGATTTAGATCTATGTATTTTAATGAGTAATTGCTTATAAGAATCTAATAGAACTAATATTTATTGCATCAAGCTTAAATATATAATTATGTTGTAAAATTACTTATGGATGATGTCTAAACTTTAGTTACCCCGTTTCAGGAAAAACTGATTAAGAAAATAATTACAAAGATTAAATTGGTCATTTCTCAGATTATAGTATATTATCTTTAAAATTTAATAATAGCTAAAATATACTACTAGATCTATAGAGGCATGGAAAGTAAAATAAATGAAGTCAAAGATAAAATAGAAACATTAACACTTCACTTTAATAATGTGATCTAAAGCAACAGTGATAGATACATTTTTTTAAAAGTCAAAAAGAAAACAGAAACAGTAACACTTTGAACAATGTGACTTAATTTTATAACTTAAACTAAGCAACAGTAATTTTTTTTAAACAGTAGGTTCAGATCAGCAAATAAGGCAGCTGTCTATCCTTCGGTTGCGACACATCTCATCTAGTTTCTGTAGGCTGTCTATTGATTAACCATCCTTGGCTACTTATTAAAAGTAGCCTATAACTAATGCTACTAATATTTAGATATTTCAACATAATCCTAACCATATCATATTCCAGTATGAGTATAATACACAGGTATTATTGATACAAGATTTCAGTGCCACCCCCATTAATTAGACTTTATTATATGTGATTGTCTTTTTCTCCTAGCATTTTTTTGACTTGTAAATTTCTATTCCCAACATCCTTAAGCATCTATGTGCTAAGTTTTATCTTTGTATCATCAATAGCAACATAGATATTCAGTATGAAAAGTGACTTGTGGCAATCATAGTAGAACGGCACCGCACTCCTTAATTGGGCTTTATTAAGTTAATTATTAGTTGTTTTCCTTTTAATTAAGCTGTATTTCACTTGCATATTCCTGTTGCCTGTACTCCCTAGCACCAATATGCAAAGTATTATCAATATATCTTTATTAACAACAGAGTTGTGCAGTTTGACAATAGACTAACGTTGCTCTCTATATAAAAACGCCATGACCCTTAATTAGTCTTAATTATTTTTGGTTTTACCTTTACTGATCTTTATTTCAATTGCATATTCCTGTTGCCTGTACTCTCTAGTATCAATATGCAAAGTTTTATCATTACATGTTAAAAAATAACAACGCTATATGAACTCAAAGAAGGACACCAAATATTTTGCAACTTTACAATAAAATATAAGCTGTTTAACATACAACTTAAAAAATTCATAAAAAAAAAACTACTGGGCCTACAGTGATAAATTTAGTGGTTTATTAAATGGCAGTTTATGGCCTTCAATATTATGTGTGTTTTATCATTCTGAGATAATTAGGCAAAATTTACCAAAATGCCTAGGGATTAGAATAGCATTTTTGGCCTACTCTTTTAAATGTCTATTTTTTTATAATAAATTCAGTTAGATCAGAATCATAGACAATAGTCCTGCATAGATGTAACTTGGATACTAAATAATGCACCTACATCAAAAGCAGAGTTGGCCAAAACACATCAACATTATGCCTACACTACATGGCTGCAAATTTGTATGTGACATTTTATTTTTATTTTTTTAGCGTGAATGCATCTCCATCCATGTTGGTCAAGCTGGTGTCCAGATGGGCAATGCTTGTTGGGAACTGTATTGTTTGGAACATGGTATCCAGCCTGATGGTCAAATGCCCTCTGACAAAACTATTGGCGGGGGTGATGATTCCTTCAACACATTCTTCAGTGAGACTGGTGCAGGAAAACATGTCCCTAGAGCTGTTTTTGTAGACTTGGAGCCTACTGTTGTTGGTAGGTTTATCAAGCAACTGGTTATCCTAATTAAAACTTAATATAATGTATGGTTTTTAACTGTATGAAATCTGCCTCACAGATGAGGTTCGTACTGGCACATACAGACAGCTTTTCCACCCTGAACAACTGATAACTGGTAAAGAAGATGCTGCCAACAACTATGCCAGAGGTCACTACACCGTCGGCAAGGAACTGATTGATCTTGTGCTGGATCGTATCAGAAAGCTGTCTGATCAGTGCACTGGCCTTCAAGGTTTCCTCATCTTCCACAGGTAGCCTATTTTTCGGTTGGCCTTTTTGATGTGTTACCTGTTGGTATGTGTATGATGTATGCTCTATATGCCTTTTATTTTTTCTAGTTTTGGTGGTGGAACTGGCTCTGGATTTACTTCCCTTCTCATGGAGAGACTCTCTGTGGATTATGGCAAGAAGTCTAAGCTGGAATTTTCAGTTTACCCTGCACCTCAGGTATTGTAATCACTGTCTTCATGAACTTTTATAGTTGCCTGCAGGTGTTAACAGCAACAATGTAGTAAAAACCTTTTTATTTCTTGCATAGGTGTCTACAGCTGTTGTTGAACCCTACAATTCCATTCTGACCACTCATACCACACTGGAGCATTCCGACTGTGCTTTCATGGTTGATAATGAAGCCATCTATGACATTTGTCGTAGGAATCTGGATATTGAACGTCCCACTTACACCAATCTTAACCGCCTCATTGGTCAGATTGTTTCATCAATTACAGCTTCCCTTAGGCAAGTTTGTGTTTGTTGTATACAAATGCTTGTTTCTCAAAGTTGTTTACCATTACATTTCTTAAAAAAAAAATTTAATGTATTGATTTTTCATTTACAGGTTTGATGGTGCATTGAATGTGGATTTGACTGAGTTCCAAACTAACTTGGTTCCTTACCCACGTATTCACTTCCCCCTTGCAACCTATGCTCCTGTCATCTCGGCTGAGAAGGTGAGTTTAATATTTTGAGGCGATTTTTATTTTGTTTGCTTAGCATTTAACTTGCTTTAGTTCTATTTCCAGGCATGTACGATAACAGTACTTAAAGGAAAGTGATAGCTCTTTAGTATTATCAATGATGTTTGTTTTTAACGTTTTCTTTCTCTCCCTGTACAGGCTTATCATGAACAACTGTCTGTGGCTGAAATCACCAATGCATGCTTTGAACCAGCTAACCAGTTGGTCAAGTGTGATCCTCGTCATGGCAAATACATGGCTTGTTGCATGTTGTACCGTGGTGATGTGGTACCTAAAGATGTCAATGCTGCTATTGCTACCATCAAGACCAAGCGCACCATTCAGTTTGTAGACTGGTGTCCCACAGGTTTCAAGGTAAGCTATTTTACTTCTGGAGTTTGTTTTTGTTTAGATTTTACGGGCATTAAATAAGTTTTAATACATGGGTTTCATTTTTCTCTTCAGGTTGGCATCAACTACCAACCACCAACTGTTGTACCTGGTGGTGACTTGGCCAAGGTCCAACGTGCTGTATGCATGTTGAGCAACACCACAGCCATTGCTGAAGCCTGGGCAAGATTGGATCACAAGTTTGACCTTATGTATGCCAAGAGAGCTTTTGTGCACTGGTATGTCTTACTGTTTTACAAGCTTTTTATATTTGGAAACTCTTTAACAGCTGATTACATTTCTATCAAAGCTGCAATGTGACATGAACTTTTATGTAGATTGTTTATTAATTGGGCATGGGTCACTTGTTTTCAATTACATAAATTACTACTATCCTTTCTTAGCAATGTTTGTGTACTAGTGTTTTAAAAAGTTTATAAGACTATGTAGGTCAAATTATATTTGAGATTTTCCAACTTTTCAATATACCATATGGCCATTTTTTTTTTAAAACTATAAATATTATGTATGCTTTTTAATAAATTTTTATATTACGTTTTTCTATGACTATGTTAACACTAATTCTGTATTGTCTCAGGTATGTCGGTGAGGGTATGGAAGAGGGAGAGTTCTCCGAAGCCCGTGAAGATTTGGCTGCCCTAGAGAAAGATTATGAAGAGGTTGGAGTAGACTCAGTTGAAGCTGAGGGTGAAGGCGAAGGAGAGGAATATTAATTCCAAAGGTCTTACCAACACAATTTACATTCTATACCTAGAGTAAATGCTGGGCGTTCTTTACTAGAGTTCTACAGTTTTTTATTGTATGGTTTATGTTGAATTGTTTTGGTGAAATTAAAATCTTGTTGAACAAAGCATACTTTTTAAAAATTTGTGATTGTAAGGATGTTTTGAAAGAAGTCTGAGTTATCTGTTGCTTAAACTTACACCATCACACCAGACACTTAATAATTGCAAGGCTGAACTAAAGAAATTATTTATATAGTAGATTTTATACGATAGTCAAGTGCAGGTGTAGAAAATTGCCTGACATCTTGCATCACTTTGGCTACTATTACTAAAGCTAAATTAAGTATTACACCAGACAGATATAATTTGTAAAGTTTATTAATTATAAAAGACATGAAAATAATTTATAAATATAAATGCTTAAAGAAAATAAAATATTTAAAATCAACACAAAAAAGCAATTATATAAAATGCAAAAAAACATGAAATAGTGGTGTCTTCAAAACAAAATCTGGAATATAATCAACAGCACAAACATTACCCCAAACTAATTTCAGCCCTACTATGGGTAGTAACATGATATGTTGCCATCTTCAAGTCTGATGTATCCCATTATTTCCTTTGTACCAGGCAAGGAGCGGTACAATGGTTGGCGCCTATCGGTAAGGCAAGCCATAGCGGGTGGTGGCCAATGAAAAAACCTTATTCTGTATTAATTATACAACAGTTAACGTTCCCATTCATCTTATTCTCACGCATCTTTTTGTTTAAAAATAAAATTGTCATCTAGATTGGCCAGAACAAATTAGTCGCAGGTATGATCAAAAATTTTAATTGTATTTACGCTACTGCTTTAACAGTATAATTTGTAAACCATTTTGTAATCAAAACCCACATTAAACTTTGGTAGCTTCGATATCAATCGTGTGAGCTGAAATAACGTCCCCTAATTTACCCCCATCTCCTTTATTCTTTCCCTTTTTCCACAACAGCGGCATTAACTGCTTGACTTTATTCTTAGTTGAGAGATTAGCCTCCCCTTCTATGGACTCCAACTTCCGGATACGGACCTTGTCCAGGGACTGAAGGTCGTTGTCGTCGATAGGCTCCAGCTCAATGAAGGACGGTACAGTGTGGATACTTTGGATACCGTTGGCGTGCTTGTCCGATGGGTCATGGTGACCCTCGTACGTCACAAACACCTTATTAACGTAACCTGTTAGAGAAATTAAAATTTTCAGTGAAATTCGTTGTCTGCTTGCGTGTATCTTTATTGTCAGTGAAATATACGTCTTTTAAAGGGTATCTTTATTGTCAGTGAAATACACGTCTTTTAAAGGGTGTCTTTATTGTCAGTGAAATGCATGTCTTTTAGAGGGTATCTTCATTTTGAGAGAAAAATACGTCTTTCATGTGGGTATCTTCATTGTCAGTGAAATATACGTCGTGTGGTGTGGATCTTTATTGTTAGTAAAATACATGTATTTTAGGGGTTTTCTTTATTGTCAGTGGCGGATCTAAAGGGGGGGGGGGTGGTGACTGTGGGAACGTAGAGATGTGTGAAAGAAGGTGACTATATAGGGTGACTGGGGGGCGTAGAGGTGTTTGAAAGGGACACTGTATGAAGTTGACTGACTACAGAGGGTGACTGTGGGGGTGTAGAGATACCTGAAATAGACACTGTATGAAGGTGACTACAGAGGGTGATTGTGTGGGGAGGGATGAAAAATGTCTGAAATAGACACTGAAGGTGACAACAGAGGTTGACTGTGGGGACACTGTATGAAGGTGACTACAGAGGCTAAATGTGGGGACTTAGAAGTGTTTGAAAGAGATACTGAAGGTGACTACAAACAGTATTTCTTCCAGACTTTTTTCTCCGGGGTGGGGGGGGGGAACTTGAAATTTTCGGGGGGGGGGGGCGGTAGACTTTCTTCGGGGGGGGGGGGGGGAGGGGGCGGACACTATTAAAAGTATATATTTTCTATATAAATTATATAAATTTGATTTCTTTCGGGGGGGGGGGTAGAATTTTTCGCCCCCCCCCCCCCCCCCCCCCGAAGTGATTCCTGGAAGAAAACTCTACAAATGGTGACTTACCTTGCTCGATGGAGCTGGGGTTACCGTTGTCTCCGACAGCCATGATGTGCAGGTGACCGTAGCCGTAGGACTCAAGCGGGTAGGCGTTTTGGTGGTGTCTGGTGATATCTAGGCCTGGAATAGAAATAACACGGATCTTCTAGCGCATGGACATCATACTGTTTTATACATCGATACGGAGGAGTTGAGATGAACAATTATAGGGAAACAGACATTTGTGTTAACAAACTTTGTACTATGAAAATGTATTGAATATCATGTACGGCCATTTACAATGTTTATATCTATACAATGAATATATAGAATATATAGAATATATAGAATATATAGAATATATAGAATATATAGAATATATAGAATATATAGAATATATAGAATATATAGAATATATAGAATATATAGAATATATAGAATATATAGAATATATAGAATATATAGAATATATAGAATATATAGAATATATAGAATATATAGAATATATAGAATATATAGAATATATAGAATATATAGAATATATAGAATATATAGAATATATAGAATATATAGAATATATAGAATATATAGAATATATAGAATATATAGAATATATAGAATATATATTTATATATATATATATATATATATATATATATATATATATATATATATATATATATATATATATATATATATAGGGATAATTAAAAACGATATAATCAGTCAAATATATAAAGATATGGACATCGATAATATTTAACTTTTTCTGAGTATAAAAAATACGCCCTTGTTATCGGGATTTTTAATATAAGGATACTGACAGCAATGATCACTATGTTTATTTTAGTGTAACTAATCTTCATATTTTATTTTTTTCTATCGAGACGGTCACTCACCTTTCCTCTCGACCTCTTCAGAAACCCTGAAGATTCCCAAGAGTCTAAGGGCCCCGAACAAGAAGAACGTGAGAACCCCTGTCCACAGAACGATGGCACCAACACCTGCCAGCTGCCAGGCCAGCATCTGGTAAACAAACATGAACATTTTTAAAAGATGAACGCTTTATAATGATGAACATTTCATAACGGTGAACATTTTATAATGATGAACATTTTAAAAAGATGAACGTTTTATAACGATGAACATTTTATAATGATGAACATTTTATAACGATGAACATTTTAAAAAGATGAACGTTTTATAATGATGATGAACATTTTAAAAAGATGAACGTTTTATAATGATGATGAACATTTTAAAAAGATGAACATTTTATAACGATGAACATTTTAAAAAGATGAACGTTTTATAACGATGAACATTTTATAATGATGAACATTTTATAACGATGAACATTTTATAATGATGAACATTTTATAACGATGAACATTTTTAAAAGATGAACATTTTATAATGATCAACATTTTAAAAGATGAACGTTTTTTAACGATGAACATTTTATAATGAAGAACATTTTATAACGATGGACATTTTATAACGATGGTAATTTTTTAAAGATGAACATTTTAAAACGATGAACATTTTATAATGATGAACAAAGTAGTGACGGAATAATTTATGCTGTTAATTATGTGCCGTTGTTAAGTTTTTGTAAGTTTATTTTTTGTAAACTTGTAAACTTCCCTTTCGAACCAGACGGCAGGTGAAGTAGAGTTCGCCTGTTTCTATGACCTCGTTAAACGTCGTGTGGTCAGCTGCCTTTACTTTCCCTAACGTAAGTTACGTACCTTTAGACTTTAGAGTTAGGTGGACTCTGGGACGTGCTACAACTCAAGCAGTTTTCGCACATTTTCAGAGCCATAAAGTAAGTCATCCCCCCCCCCCCTTTTCTTCCGCACAAGATATGTCATAAAGTTAAACCTACCCCAAAAAATTCCACGTTCTTATTCTAAAGGTAAATTAAGATACATTGTATTCTTTTACATCACATTTTTCTACCCCCCCCCCCCCCCTCCTACACTTCCCCATCATCTATAACCTTACATCAGTCCCAAATTTTCACTAGTCCGTTTTACATGCGTGACTCCATTTATTGACAAATAGAATAATTCTATTGACTTACCGCCCCTGACTGTTTGTTCCATGCCAACACGATACCAGTATCGTACTTGAAGAAAGCCACACTTATAATGCCCCATGCACCGCCTCCAAAGTGAACTGTGGGTATTTTCAGAACAGAAATTCAACTTATTGATAGTTTTACCCGTTGTCAATTTGTAGTAAATTCTCAAATACAAAAGTAACAAGTAGAATATTAGTAAGAAAAAATAAGTTATTGATTTGATTTAATCAATACAGCAACTTACTTCCGACGGCGTTTAAAGGGTCATCGATCTTCAGTTTAAACAGAAGCTGTTCTATTCCCTTCATGAGAAAACTCGCCACCACGCCCACAATGGCGGCGCCCCATGGCCTCATTGAGTTACACCCCCCGCAAATGGCTACCTGGAGGTGACCACGCAAAAAGCTCATTAATTCAAATATAATTTCACACTTATTGAAAAGTTATAAGTCTGTTTCATTATTCGAACAGGTAATTCAGCTGGGCTCTGATTTAGTCAGTGTCAATAGTGATAGTGGCATCAGGGGCGTAGCGAGGTCGGGTGTCACCTGGTGCGGCACTTAATGGTGTCACCCCCCCCCCCCTCAGAGGCGTAGCGACATTTCCCGGGGACAAACTTTCAAACTTTCACTTTGCACCCCCCTCAAGTTTTTCTCTATATATTTTACTATTTTTTGCCTTGGTGTCACCCCCCCCCCTAAATGGTGTCAACCGGTTCGGTCCGCACCCCCCCTCTCGCTACGCCTCTGAGTGGCATTGATTATATGAATCATAGCTTGTAGGCGCGGTGAGTCAAGATTTGTTGTTGATATGTACTGTAAGGGGTGTTAGCCTGTGTATCGAATATTTTGAACACATTCACGTCAACGTATCAATACACTGTTATTTTCATGACAAATTTTTTCTCACAACAATTTACATAAACACATCACACACTGTTTCTTTCAGGCATCGCTACGGAGGGTGGTGATGAATAGGGGGGAGGGGGTGGTTGTACCTCTGCCCTTTCCCCACCCCCCCCCCTAGGACGAAATTAAAAAAAAACAATTTTATTTAGAAATAATATACTTATCCAATATACTTTAACCACCCTACCCACCCTGAGGAAAAATGTCTGAGAGAAACTCTGAACACAAACATACACACACATACGCACGCACGCACATACACACACACGCTTGAGCACATGCGCACACACACAAGCAACTATTCTCCCAACTACACACACTCTCACACACACTCTCACACACACTATCTCTCTCTCTTTCTCACACACACAGACGCGCACACGCACACGCTTGAACACATGCGCACACATACAAGCTACTAATCTCCCAGCTACACACACACTCTCACACACACAGCCACCCCCACAACTGTAAAATCGCGCACATGTCTTTACCATTGAAGCGAAGGCCCCGTTGATGACTGCATGAATGCTCCAGCTGTTTCCAAACAAACCAATTCTGTCGTGAGATACACATAAATACAATGTTTGTTAGTACTGAGTTAACCTGTACATTCAATAATTGGAAACAGTGACGTGGCGACGATAACTAGTTCCCCCACCCGGTTTGTTTTCCACTGCTGTTAACATAGTTTTTTTTTTCATAAACTATTTAGATGAACATCAAGAAACACACAATTTATCCATCTCAAGGTTGGTGGATCTTTCGCTATCCACACAACCTTTTCATATGTCGAGGTAAAAAATAAAACAACACCTTTCAAATCAGGTTTTGAAATAATAGACGCCTTTTTAAAAGTATATTTGGCAAATATTTTGGCAAATATTTAAAAAATTAGAACCCAATCAAAGAGATCCCTTTTGGTTGAAAATAGTTTTCGACGAAATATAAAAGATAATTTCTGTAAATATATATTGTAACCAGTATCAGAGTCCCCCACCCCGTTGGTTGGAAATATCAATACCCCTCATTTGCCCCCCCCCCCCCCCCTGCCGAAAGTTTCAAATCCTCCCAAACCGAGAGATAATGTCTTAAAGAAACACCACAAAGCAGTTTCTTCCAGGCATCCACAGCCCCCCCCCCCCCAACGATATGGAATTTATAAACATACACTTTTACTAGCCTTCTCTCCGAAGAATGTCGACCCCCCCCCGTATATATATATATATATATATATATCAAGTGCCCCCCCCCACCCCCGGAGAAAAAAAAGTCTGGAAGAAACACTGCCACAAAGTACAAAGACAATGACGTGGGTCATGCTACTGACCTGTGGGTGAAGAGCGAGACGAATCCCCCCACACTGGCAGCGATCAGCGTGTTGAAGACAGCCAGACTGATGGCAGAGGCGTCCCCGGGGTAGCTGATGTGGTGCTGGGCCCCCGCGTTCAGAGCCATGAACCCAAAGAGTAGAACAAAGACACCGATGGTGGCCAGCTGTGGATGGAGGGTGGGGGGGGGTGTGGCGGTTGATAAACATGATAAAAGCAGCAGAGCTAAATAACAATATGGACATACGACAGCGTATTCACCTGTATGTATTTAGTTGGTTTATTTTATTGGGTTAAACATAAACCCAAAACTCCACCAACCGATACACCCACCAACGCTCATCGCTCCCCACTCTACAGATTTATAGCAACAGTAACCCTTGATGTAGTCCACCCACACATCCCACACACTCCTCACTCACACACCCACACATCCACTCACATTCCCCCACCCCTAGACATACAGCATCAGAATGTCCCTTGATGTTGTTCACCCACACAATTACCCACACATCCACACGTACATTCACCCACCCACCCCTTCCTCCCACTTAATTTCCCCACACCTCCTCCCTAGACTTACAGCAACAGAGTACCCCATTGACGTAGTTCATCCACACACCCACTCACCCACACATCCCCCCAAAAATTCCCCACCCCACCACTTTCAGCAACAGAGTGCACCTTGATGTAGTTCACCTTCCCACCCTCACCCACACACACACCCACACATTTCCCCACACATCCCCTACCCCCACCACTTACAGCAACAGAGTGTCCTTTGATGTAGTCCACCTACACACCCCCACACACCCCCACACATCCCCTACCCCCACCACTTACAGCAACAGAGTGCACCTTGATGTAGTCCACCCACACACCCCCACACATCCCCACCCCACCACTTTCAGCAACAGAGTGCACCTTGATGTAGTTCACCTTCCCACCCTCACCCACACACACACCCACACATTTCCCCACACATCCCCTACCCCCACCACTTACAGCAACAGAGTGTCCTTTGATGTAGTCCACCTACACACCCCCACACACCCCCACACATCCCCTACCCCCACCACTTACAGCAACAGAGTGTCCTTTGATGTAGTTCACCCACACACCCCCACACACCCCCACACATCCCCCACCCCCACCACTTACAGCAACAGAGTGTCCTTTGATGTAGTTCACCCACACACCCCACACACCCCCACACATCCCCCACCCCCAGCACTTACAGCAACAGAGTGTCCTTTGATGTAGTTCACCCACCCACACACCCCCACACATCCCCCCATCACCACCACTTACAGCAACAGAGTGTCCTTTGATGTAGTTCACCCACCCACACACCCACACACCCCCACACATCCCCCCATCACCACCACTTACAGCAACAGAATGTCCTTTGATGTAGTTCACCCACCCACACACCCACACCCCCCACACATCCCCCCACCACCACCACTTACAGCAACAGAGTGTCCTTTGATGTAGTCCACCCACACACACCCACACATTCCCCACCCCCACCACTTACAGCAACAGAGTGTCCTTTGATGTAGTTCACCTTCCCCGTGTCCTTGTCAAACCTCCCAATGCGGGGTCCTATGATAATGGCAGCTACCAGCGCGGCTGTACCTCCAACTAAATGCACCACACCACTGCCACCAAAATCCTGAAACACCAGACACACAACCACATAGTCACAACATAACACAATTCTGTAACATAAGACAATCACATAGTCACAACATAATACTATTCTGTAACATAAGACACATAATCACATAGTCACAACATAATACAATTCTGTAACATAAAACAGACAATCACATAGTCACAACATAATACAATTCTGTAATATAAGACACACCATCACATAGACAAAACAGAATACAACGAGTCGACCCGCGGCGTAAAGCCGCTATTTAGTTGTTTTATTTTCTACTTTTCAGTAATTCATAATTTGTGAATTCGACAGTACCAATGCTGCCACTGAAAATATTTGCTTTAAAACACTATCAGATGGTCGTTAAGGACGATACCCCCTCCTTTCCCCCAACCCCTACCCCACTCACCCCCCCCATCCTCACTCCCCCCACCCAACCCCTCCTCCCCCCCCTTGAAAGCAAACTCCTCTTAGTTACCTCCCCCAAGTTTAAAATCGTTTCAAACTACATTATCTGCCCCTTATAGCCGTCACTAAACCCGGCTCTACGATTGTAAACATTTAGCGTGAACCACAGCTCACCAGACGTCCTAGAGAGGAAGAGAGGGGACTGCAAGGCGCGCTTACAGCTTGTTTTCTAACGTCTCCCAGAAGAAAATTATATATATATATATAGATATATAGATTCTTTAACAAGGATATATTTTCAATATTAATTCTATTCCGTTGAGGGGGGTGGGGTGGGGGGGGGGGTAGACGTGTTTCTGGAGGGGGGTGCTAAGAGATGCCAGATAGAATCACTGTTCGGCTCCTAGGTAGTTAAGTTTCGTTAGCTGGGGACAGAAACACACCTAGGAGAGAAAACTCGAATTGAAACAACTGCTAAAGATTGTTCTTGGATAAACATTGGCGATGAGGGCAGCTTTGTCAACACTTTATATCATAGGAGTAATTACCCTTTGATATTACAATTAAGAACGAAGATAAAGTTCAGCCATTATGAAATGAACACATATACTGTACACAAACCATTTTTGGTAGGAAAGAAATGTCTGTATATTCCCCCGATATAGACGTGCATATTGGCAAACAGTACACAAACAAGGAAAGAAATGTCTTTAACGAACGAGTATATCTACAAAACTTCTAAATTATTTGGAGTATCTATTTACTATCTGACAACGATTCTTCGAACACAGTATAAAGTAAATGAATATCCAGACTAGAATGTCCGTAATTCAGGTGTAATAGATATTATCAGTTAAATAATTAGATACTGTGTTTAAAATTTATGAGTTGGGGGACATTGAGTACCTATAGTTCATTTGATAGCTCACCTCATAATGAACTTTGACCAGTTTGCCATCAATGTTAAAGTTGTGTCCCTTGAAAAGCCAGCCCTGGTATGCCCAGCCCCAGTGGGTCACAACAGGGTAGATAAATCCTGAGGAATAAAGAACGCTAACTCTGAGATAATATCCAGGCAGGAAAAATTCGGCATCGTAGACTCTAAGGAAGTGGGCATTCTCTTACATTTGATATCAAAAGTACATAAATAATATATAGCAAACAATAAAAATAAAAATATTTTTATTTTAGATGGATCTCGTGAAACAAAATAAAATATTGTAAAGTAAGTAAACCATAAAGAGCTAAAAATTAATTAATATTTATAAATCTCGCCGACTCCTTAATATGCGATCGATGACTCCCATATGTTGAGTATTATATTCGTTATTAATCTTAGTGAAAAAAAAGAAGAAAAAAAAAGGAACAAAAAGTAATAATAATCTTTTTGGGCCTAATTTACCAAGCTAAAATAATTAATACTGTACAAATGGTCGTTAGAGGGGTAATACAACGGACCCTGGGGCGTACTGTATGAGAAACTTGAGTCACGTACGTTGATCACTTTCCGAGATCGTGACGAAGCACACACCTCCGCGACCGCCCCGATTTCAGGGACCTAACGGGGCAGCCCTGGTAGCCCCCGTTAGACTACAAGGAGCTTACGAACTACCGGGGAGGTTGGCTGATGCACCTGATTCAATTTGTGAACGACTATAATACCCAACTTATCCATAGTCTATCGCACTGTTTAAAAAGAACTTAGGCGCCATAGCGCCCACGGGAAAGCCCGGAGCGCCAAATAGTACCATACCGGATGATGCGCCTGATTCGATTTAGTAAACGACTATGATAACCAATTTTATCCATAACTTACAGCACTCTTTAAAACGAACGCCATCACATGATAGCCCGGGGCGCAAAAATCGGATCTCATGAAATGACTTGTGACGATGACCTTACACACACACACTCACACACACACACACGCTCGCACGCACGCACGCACACACACAAACACACTCAATTGTACAGATGGTAGGCGATGAACTCACACACGTCCACACACACACCCACACACCAGAACTCACCTGTAAGCACAAAACTGTACAGCAGGTAGGCGATGAACTCACACAAACCCACACACCCACATACACCCACACATCCACACACCTGAACTCACCTGTAAGCACAAAACTGTACAGCATGTAGGCGATGAACTCACACACACCCACACACCCACACCCACACACCCACACACCAGAATTCACCTGTAAGCACAAAACTGTACAGCAGGTAGGCGATGAACTCACACAAACCCACACACCCACACACCCACACACACCCACACACCCACACATCCACACATTCACACACCCACACACCCACACACACCCACACACCAGAACTCACCTGTAAGCACAAAACTGTACAGCAGGTAGGCGATGAACTCACACAAAACCACACACCCACACACCCACACACACACACACACCCACACATCCACACATTCACACACCCACACACCCACACACACCCACACATCCACACATTCACACACCCACACACCCACACACCCACACACCCACACACACCCACACATCCACACATTCACACACCCACACACCCACACACACCCACACATCCACACATTCACACACCCACACACCCACACACCCACACACCCACACACACACACACACCCACACATCCACACATTCACACACCCACACACCCACACACACCCACACATCCACACATTCACACACCCACACACCCACACACCCACACACCCACACACACCCACACATCCACACATTCACACACCCACACACCCACACACACCCACACACCAGAACTCACCTGTAAGCACAAAACTGTATAGCAGGTACGCGATGAACTCACACCTCTCCGTGACGGCCCCAGCCACGATGGTGGTGGCGGTGGAGGCGAACATGGCCTGGTAGAAAGCGAAGGCGATCTTCGAGTCGTCCAGCCCGGCCATGGCCCAGTTGGTCCAGCCAACAAACTCATTGCCGTAGCCAAAGGCCAGAGCAAAGCCAAACAGCCAGTAGGCAATGCCGGCGGCAACTGGAAGGTAATGGATATGTTTAGGTTAGACAGGTGATATGGAACATGATTGACATATACATAGACATACAGATACCGGCTGCAACTGGAAGGTAATGGGAAGTTTAGGTTAGAGAGGTGATATGGTAGAGATGACTGACATAGACATACATACACCCATGGCGAATGAAAGGTAAAATGATTATGTATGTGACACGTAACATGGTAGAGATGACTGACATAGACACTTAGATAACGGCTGAATCTGTAAGGTAACGGATATATTAACAAATGACATACGACAGATTATTGACTGAGAAAAATACAATTAGAATCCCTCAGTGACTGAAAGGTAACATGTTTATATGAGACCAGTGACATAGGACAAATAATTGGTATATACATAGACATACAGGTATCGGCGGCGACTGAAAGGTAACAGATATGTTTATTTTAGACAAATCACATTTGACATAATAATATGCTTGACGAAGACGTAGACAATTAGCTGAAAGGTAATAGATATGTTTAGATTAGACAGGTAATATGGTAGAGATGGCTGACATCGACAGACACGTGACACGGCAGAGATGATTAACATAGACGAAATAGAATAAATGTAAATTGACCAAATAGAATAAATGTAAATTGATCAAATAGAATAAATGTACATTGACCAAATAGAATAAATGTACATTGACCAAATAGAATAAATGTACATTGTCCAAATAGAATAAAGGAGCCGACCCGCGGCGTATCATACGCCGCTATTTAGTTGTTTTATTTTCTACTTTTCAGTAATTCATAATTTGTGAATTCGACAGTACCAATGCTGCCACTGAAAATATTTGCTTTAAATCACTAACCACCCCCCTTTCCCCCAACCCCTACCCTACCCTACCCTACACCCCCCCCCCCCCCCCCCCCCCCGTGAAAGCAGCCTCCTCTTAGTTACCTCCTGTAAGTTTAAAATCGTTTCAAACTAAATTATCTGACCCTAATAGCCGTCAACAAACCCGACTCTACAATTTGTAAACATTTACAGTGAACCACAGCTCACCAGATCATGTGGGGGTGGGGTGGGGGTGGTAGTGATAGTGATAGAAAGGAAGAGAGGGGACTGCAAGGCGCGCGCTTGCAGCTTGTTTTCTAACGGCTCCCAGAAGAGAATTATATATATAGATGTATATTGACCAAATAGAATAAATGTACATTGACCAAATAGAATAAATGTATATTGACCAAATAGAATAAATGTACATTGACCAAATAGAATAAATGTAAATTGACCAAATAGAATAAATGTACATTGACCAAATAGAATAAATGTAAATTGACCAAATAGAATAAATGTACATTGACCAAATAGAATAAATGTACATTGACAATTATATTCAATAGCCGGTATAAAGACATGGTGTAAAAGTGATGTAATTGAAAGTTAACAGACATATTTAAATAAGACAAGCGAGAAGGCATAGGTGATTTAAATAGACAAAGAGGAATTAATGTTTTTAGAAAGAGACAATTATATACCATTGAAAATTACAGGTGTAGCACGATGTAAGGGGTGAAGGGACAGATCACATTGAAAATCACAGGTGTAGAGATTTGTTAAATGGACAGATCACATTGAAAATCACAGGTGTTGAGATTTGTTAAATGGACAGATCACATTGAAAATCACAGGTGTTGAGATTTGTTAAATGGACAGATCACATTGAAAATCACAGGTGTAGAGATTTGTTAAATGGACAGATCACATTGAAAATCACAGGTGTTGAGATTTGTTAAATGGACAGATCACATTGAAAATCACAGGTGTTGAGATTTGTTAAATGGACAGATCACATTGAAAATCACAGGTGTAGAGATTTGTTAAATGGACAGATCACATTGAAAATCACAGGTGCTGAGATTTGTTAAATGGACAGATCACATTGAAAATCAGAGGTGTAGCAAGGTGTTAGGGGTGAAGGGACAGATCACATTGAAAATCACAGGTGTAGAGATTTGTTAAATGGACAGATCACATTGAAAATCACAGGTGCTGAGATTTGTTAAATGGACAGATCACATTGAAAATCAGAGGTGTAGCAAGGTGTTAGGGGTGAAGGGACAAATCACATTGAAAATCACAGGTGTCGAGATTTTTTAGGGATATGGGGACAAATCACATGCAGCGAACTTACGCGAGTCAAGAATGTTCTTGATCAAGATGTGTGTTGTGTTCTTTGTTCTCACACTCCCTGCTTCAATCAGACCAAAGCCTACGTCCATAACTGCGATCATGTCAAGACAATGAGAAGGTTACAAGGGAGGTAACAAAGTTTAAAGTACTTTAAAAAACATTAATTGAGTTATCTCCATTAACTTTTAATTTATATTTTTCAACAGATGACGTCGCTGTTAAATTTATTAATACTAATTAAAATTGTTTTCCCAAAAAACTTTTAATTGTGTTATCTCTAATTCACACATAGAAACATACATATAAATAGAAATTAATAATGCACACATACATAAATTGGAATTAAACACACATAATTTTGAACTAAACACACACACACGTACACAAACACAACATATATATATATATATATATATATATATATATATATATATATATATATATATATATATATATATATATATATATATATATATATATATATATACCTATACATATATATATATATATATATATATATATATATATATATATATATATATATATATATATACTTACATATATAAATATGTATGTGTGTGTATGTTTGTGTGTGTATATAATGTAAGTCTTCGAATAATAATAAAAGCTAGAGCCTTGAAAGTTTGAAGACGTACACACGATCATGATCCCAAAGACGAGCAGATACAGCTGGTCCGTGTAGTGTTTGGGTGTCAGCCCGTCATCCTCTCCCCCGTGGAGGGAGCTGTTGTGTTTGATGACTGTGAGATCCAGGAACGCTTTGGTTGTCAACTCAGACACGGTTTTAGCAGTGACGTTAGCCATGGCGACTAGAAGATTATGGGCAGCAGTAGATGGCAACGTGTAAGTAGAATACAAAATTCCTGCAACACAATAAATAATAAAACTGAACATTAGTTTTTTTGGTTTTTTTTCATATATAATCTAAGTAAGGGAGGCAACACCCATCATTTTTCACGACAATTCAGGTAGAATCATTTACCCAGTTACTTCCCGTATTTATTAAAAATAAGGAATATGCATACTCAATTAATTTTTATTTTTTTATTTATAAACTAAAGTGTATCATTAAAAAATAATGAAAAAAGATAAAAGTTTTCTAATACTCTTAAATGCCGAACTAATTTAATCTAAGATGCCGTCGTTACGCTTCGATGACCGCAGTTTTACATTCTTGAATTAGGTCGCATCCAAACATGCGTGACGGGGCGCAATGTAAACAACAAAAGATCGACAACCCAGGCAGTGAGATGGTAGTGACTCATTAGAGACACACGAGTGACTTCCCTTGTTAAGTGGGGCGGCAATGGAAAATGTGTGGAAAGCATGGGATCAATACCTTGTGGTAAAGGACAGGTTTTAAGTTACAAATACGGAATTTACTCTTCAAAAAAGGGTGGGGGGAAGGAAAGGAGTATCACTTTGTGATAATTTAGTAAAATTTTTGTGCCTAAATTTGGTCGAAAAAAAAACACGGACAGTCAAGTTCGAAAAGAGAATTTTACTTTACTTCCTCAGATCTTTCTTCTTCTTCTTCGTTCTTAATATTTTAGTGTTGAAGGGGATCGAGATTTATCTGCCAGTGGGTTTGAACTCGAGACTTTGTTCGAATTTATCAACCATGAGCTTTTGACCGACTCGACCACGCCTCCAACACAATTAAGCGTTACGTGTCAACTGGTTATGCGCCATTGAGGCCATTGACTCCGATTTCAGCCTGATTTTCTTTTTGGATTTGCTTCCATAGCCTTTGTCCAACCAAGAACAAACTACAAGGCAGCAGTTGTTTAATTTTGGAGTTGCCTCTCCTAGAAGAGTGGCTGTCCCCAGCTAACGAGCCTCATCTGCCCGGGGGTTCGAACTCGAGACTTTTCGGTTTAGCGACCATGAGCTTTACCGACTCGACCACGCCAACCCCTAGTTCCTCAGATAATTTTTACCATTGAACGAGTTGAAGCTAAAAAAAATGGGGGAGGGGGGGGGGAGAGATTGTGTTTGTGTATGTGGGGGTGTGTGGGTAGGGTGTAAGAACACAGACCCACAAAGCGAAAACATTTTGGAGTATGTTTATACTCCAAATGGTAAGGGATTGGAATGTGACCTACCCTTCCACCCCCACCCCCCACTATCACACCCCCATCACCACCGCCAATGAATCCACCGGAGTTTTATAAAAATGACACAGCATCATTTAAAAGCTTAAAGAAGACAATTAATGAGAAATCCACAATTAGTATTTTAAACCACTGTCACTTTTTAAATTCACCCCTCTCAAACCCCTCCGCTGCCCCCCCCCCCTCTCCCATACATCATCGATGATAAAAAAAATATAGAGCACTACAACAGGGGTATAAAACTTGTGTCCCAAACCCCAATTCATGTAGAGCACCATACGATAAAGATTTGAGAAACTAACTAAACTCGACTCACACGGGTTTAAAACTTGTGGCGCAAAAACCTAACTGATCTCCACACAAAAAGGGTATAAAATCAAACAAAACTATTTTTCCGTGGATATTTCAGGAGTAGTGGGGTCACAAGCTCGGGTATAACTTTTTTTAAATGGTGGGTCTTGTCAGGTCATTTATAAAATATTAAAAGACCCTTCTCTTTGAAATTATTGGCTTGGTGTCAGCCCTCACCTTAAGTGATGTACATCTGCGCTTAATGTTGAATTTTACACCATTTCATACACCCCCAGCCCCCTTTTTTTCAACCCCCGTTCTCGCTTCATGACGCAACTGTTATGGAGCAGTTGTAAACACTGATATGGAAGGACGTGGCCAAGAAGTAGATGGCTAGACTGCTAAACTGGAAGTCTCGAGTTCGAATGCGAGTTCAAGTCAGTAGAATGTCTCTGAGTCCACCCAGCTCTAATGAGTACCCAATTTACGTAAGGGGAAGTAACGGCGACTGGGAATAGTGCTGACCACAGTACATACGTTGAGATCAAGGAAACAGGCGAACTTCCCCCAAGGACCGTTAGGTTCGAAAAGGGACCTTTACTTTTATAACTACTGATGTGAGATATTTATTTTATATTTATATTTATAAAAAAAAATGGGGACGTCATAAATGGATGAACCCCTATCTGAGCTGTTGTAGTTCTGTATTCCTAAACAATGATATGCATGATTATACTAAATGTGCATATAAGCAACAACAGTGCGTGACTTCGAGTGTATAATTCTATGAGTGATAAAAGACTCTATTCTCAATAGAAAATAACAAAATCGAATGTTCTACCATAAGATGATTAAGGGTGGTACCTCACCCCGTTGTTCAGGGTTCGTAACTCGGTCGAACATCTTGTAAAATTCTAGTTGTGATTGCTGCTTAGTAATTAAGAAAGCAGAATAATTAAAATTCAATTTCTAATCTATTGATAGAACATCGATTTAAAAATAAATATAAGAAATTTTTTTTATGAAGAATTTAAAATTGTCTTACCTTGTGATTATTAGTGTAATAATTTTACGGGCTAAACTCTTTGACAGTATATAAAAACAACTAGTACTACAATGTTATTGAGTGAAAATCCTCTTCAAAAAACTATCGTTGATTCCGATCTTTCGAAAGTTTTTAGTATAGAAGTTTGATCTTTTGATCTTTGATCTTTTTCTTGAAACGTACAATGGCAGGATGCTGATGAGATTGCTCTTGTAATCTCATCAGCAGTACAAAGACGGGGGCAGAACAGATCAAACTTCCTTGCATAGCGATAGACCGGCCAGGTCAGGAATCAAACGTCTGCTGGTTCATCAAAAACTGCGTCGTCTTAAAGAGAGCAATAAACGGAACAAAATTGGAATTAAAATTAAACACGGGTGGAATATTGTAACGAAATGTTAAAAAATGGTATCGTGGACTATATATATATTGACAGGACAAGGCACCCATTAGTGACAGGGGGCGTCACTGCTTTCAGCCCCTGAGCTGAATGGTGCATTACACACCCCTGGTCACTCGTGGAAGCTAACTCGTACGGGAGTTTGGAATGTTATTCTGGTTCAAATTTTATGGCAGAATGATTTTCGTTGTCACAACAGTGGGATGGGGGGGGGGTGTTAAAGGGCTATTTAAATTAGATATATTTACAACCAGACTTCACATTCTATCTAAAAATATTCTAAGCATTATTATTTTTAAATTATAAAGCCAGCATATATATATATATATATATATATATATATATATATATATATATATATATATATATGTATAAATATATATATATATGTTTATATATATAAAACTCGGTTGTATTTTTTGTTATATTTCGGCTAGTTTCTCATCTATTAATGATTCTTCATTAGACGCCGATGTTAGTTCTATTCTTACTATTCTTGACCCACGAAGGTAAAACACAGGAAACTACGTGATGTAACTTAGCACTTTAAGCGAAGAAGGGTTTCTTTTAGGTCACGGTTATACAAGATGCAACCACACGAAACTGGTTTTCAACACGTCCCAACCTACTCAGGAACAGTAACTCGTATTTACATTTTTGTCTTGTCTTGTTTGTCACCCGTCTAGCCTCCCCTTTCTGTATCTTAGATTAGTAATAAAACTGGTATTTAAAAACAACTTAAAATAAAAAACTTTAACATTGACAAAGATGAACATAAAGCATCTACTTTTTCTGTTATATCTAAAGAAAGTTTTAACATTTTTTATTTAATTTTCAAAGCATTTGGAAACATTTTATTATTTATGGGTTTTATTCGTGTTTTATTTTCTACGCGTCATTATCTTTTGTTCTACTGAATTATAATTATAAATCGATATTTAAACATAAAATCAATAAGTAACATATCCTTTCTTTCCAGTTCGATCGTTTTTAATCAGGCCAATACACCATACGAATACAAATTGTTTGTTTTAAAAACCAATCAGTAGATCATGATGAAAATGATCAACACCTATGTTCGTATTGGCTCTAAGAATTGTAAACATCGTTCATGAACTCCAACTCACCTTACTAATATAGTGATTAATGCTACCTAGATATTGCCCTTTTGTTGTTCAATAGAGTAAACATTAACTACATTTTTAAAGGCCAATTTTTATGAACAACTAAACTGAAAATTATACATTCCTGCATTGTAATTGCATTTATTTAAAATATTTTGAAAAAAATAATTGCTGTATGATAGAAGGGTCAAAATTGAGTTACAATATTTGATTATAGACCCACAAACAGACACACAAACGTATAATGGTATAAGAAAAATCTCGCTTGTATGTTCATATATGATATTTATATAGTTAAATCATTCATTACATTTGTATTGGAAAGTGAACGTATATCAAATTAGAACAGGCTAATTCGGGTTTGACCCAGTCAACCATGGAATCACTCTAGCGTGAATCTGATGTAATACAGGACAACACAGTAGTCACGTGTCACACACCGCTGTACGGGTGTCACGTGTCAAGAGCAGACAAACAGTGCCAGGGGCGATGACTAAAAGACTCCCCCCCCCGTACCTCGTGGTGTCACTCGTGCGAGGAATCGTGTCACGTCTGTCAACAACTTGTTGCGGTCGTATGGGGGTCACGTGGTATTGTTTACTACATACACATAGTGTTCCTTCCTGTCTTTCATCTGTTGTAGACACATGCACATACATACTTGTGTATAAATGTATATATCTATGTCAATATATATATCTATGTCAATATATATATATATATATATATATATATATATATATATATATATATATATATATATATATATATATATATATATATATATATATTCGTTATGCATATTTTCTTTTTTATGTTATTATATTTCATTATATTTTATTTGTATAAAATGAATATATATATATATATATATATATATATATATATATATATATATATATATATATATATATATATATATATATTCATTTTATAAAAATAATGTGTCTAAAATTTAAAAGGATTCTATGATTTGATCAACTAATGACCAATGCGTTTATTAAAGAAAGTGTCTTCCCTAGTCGCTCCACGATTGGCTGTTTCACCCCCCCCCTTCTCTCTCTCCCTCCTCCCCTCCCCCCTCCTCTTGTTCACCGAATGTTACATTCTTTCTTCATTTGTTGATGGGCAGTGAAAAAGAAAATGCCTGAAGTTTTATTTTAAGAAGAAAAAAACAAGAAAAACAAAGCTGAAATGTTGATAAATTGAAGTGCAGCTTTGTGTGGGTGGGCGGCAAGTTCAAACTCAGTGCTTTGTTACCGTGTACTTAAATCATGAACAGAACTGAAAACTTTTCTGGTGTTCATTTTTTATTATTCTAATTACGATCCTAACTCACAGTTTAAACCAAAGGCCAATATTTTTCTCACCCTTTAGTCAATATTGACAAAGGCAATACCTGAAGAAGCGGGTCTTTAACAGCTGCATTAAATATCCGCCTTAACTTGGGGAAGATATTTGCTGAAACACACACTTACACACACACACACACACACACACACACACACACACACACACACACTCACACACACAAATACACATACAGAGGTTTCTAATAGTGGGTAATCTCCAGCAATACCTGAGATGGAGCTTTAACAGCTATATTCAATACCCGGCAATAAGTGGAGAAAATATTTGCTGAAAAAAAAACACACACACACATACACACGCACATGTTTCTAATAGTGGGTCAACCCAACTCCGCTTTATCTAGCTTGGCCCAACAATATCTTAGCTTGAGATTTAACAGCTTTATTAAATACCCGGCATAAATTGGGAAAAAATATTAACTGAAACACACACAGAAACACAGAGGTTTCTAATTGTGGGTCATCTCCCTTTTATCTAGCTTGGCCCAACAATATCTTAGCTTGAGATTTAACAGCTTTATTAAATACCCGGCATAAATTGGGAAAAAATATTAACTGAAACACACACCGAACACAGAGGTTTCTAATAGTGGGTCATCTCCGGTTTTATCTAGCTTGTCCTCGCTCCGTCTCATGCCCCCCCCCCCCCATTTACTGCGGCACTGTCTTATCTCTGCGGTCCTCACCGGAAGTCGTCCCCCTCCGCGGCAATATGGCGCTGGGCCGGTACACTAAAAAGTTCTATTTCCAACGCCCACACGCACGTTCGCGTTAAGTTCACAACTATGTTGCGAGATAAGGGAAACAACCCCAAGACAAGTCACATTTTACTCTTATTGTTTTAAAAAAGATGATACTCATAAAAATAAATATTGGAATCAACAAAATCGTGACAGTTTTAAGGGCTTGGAACTGTTTTTTCTTTAGCATTATGATTTTTATTTGTACAATGGGGAAAATATTTTTATGTCGTTTATCACCAAAACAAAAAACCCACTAATATTATCTCCCTCAATAAATCAAATTTATGAGTAACTAGATAGTTTCTATTCTTGGCTCCGGCTTTTTGGTGACTATAACTGAAAAAAAAAGGGTAGGGGAAAGGGAGGAATCTGACATACTAATACTATCTTCTTCTTCTGAATCCTTTTGGTGTCCAAGACACATGGGGCAGATGAAGTAGGGTTCATCTGATTTATTGACCTCGGCATATGTAGGGATAGTGTGGTCAGCACTATGCCCAACCGCCTTTGTTTCCATAACGCTGATTTCAACCCGGATTTGAACTCGAGACTCTCGGGTTAGCAGTCTACCGCTAGGCCACGCCGTCCACTATACTATGTTTTTAATAAGGCATTATAAGCTACTTAAGATAAACATGCTATAATTTTAAATAGGAATGGCTAAAACGAACCAAAGTCACTCGCCTTTCATATTTTTACAAACGACACCAAAGTTAACAAAAGGCAACACGGACATCAAATCCCGCAAACGGGAAGAGGGTAACATTTTGAGGCAAGAGTTAGAATGGAATCCCCAGGGTAAGAGGGAAGAAGCCCGGCGAAGAGAATCCTGGAGCTGGACGGTGAAAGGAGAGGCTCTTCTACAGAGAGCTGCCCAAATCTGAGCTTTTTGGATAGGTGTGGGTGTAGCTCTTTAGACCTTTGGATAGGTGTGGGTGTAGCTCTTTAGACCTTTGGATAGGTGTGGGTGTAGCTCTTTAGACCTTTAGATATGTGTGGGTGTAGCTCTTTGCTCCTCAGGGGCCACAGAAGCACAATTCGAATAACTCATTTAGCTCCAGGAATCGGATGTTGATCTCTTTTGGATGCATCCACAAATCGCTAGACATGTTAAGGATTTTGTCTCCTTCCTCATATCCATAGTTAGACCTCATTAGTATACTTTGGTCAGTCCACTGGGTATGTTTGGTCTCCATTAAAACGATTACAAACATATATATATATATATATATATATATATATATATATATATATATATATATATATATATATATATATATATATATATATATATAACATGTACGTATGTATGTATTTAACGAAAAATCAGAAAATGTAGTGTCGCCAGACGAGTCACATGTCACTGTATAAAAATAACCTGTATTGTTTTAATCAAATTGAAATGGTGCTTGAAACTTTTGCTAAAACACAGCCAGGTTTGCTTGTTGACAAAGCTCTTCCTACGTATCTCCGCGAGATCATCTCAGATTAGAGTTGCCGCTCTTGGCGCGAGCCTAAACCGGAAGTTGGGAGCCAGTGCTTCGACCTTCTAAGCGGGAATTCCTAGCCGGCAACCCAAGAGCGATCACGAACTGCGGTCGTTGACGAAACCTGGCAATGATGAGCTCTGTGTAGAGGGGACCGATGGGGTGGGGGGGGGGGGGGTTTAAGTCGAGATCGTGGGTGGAGTTTGTGTGGGGGGGGGGGGGTGATTATTAAAAGATTTAAAATAAAAATTTAAAACTCAA